CCTCGCCCCCCCAGTCCCCCATCCGCAAACCCGTCCCCGCTTCTCCCTCAACCAGAGTCGACCGCTTCCTCTCCACCAACCACCCCCCTAGTTCTCCCAAACCAACCACCCACCGCCCCGCAGACTACACGACGACTGCCGAGGTCGACGCCGAGAACAGCCGCCGTCTGGCCGCCCAGCAAACGACCAAGGCCGGCGGCTGGGCCTCCAAGTCCCTGCTGGAGCGCGAGATGGAGCGCGAGCGCGAGCGCCAGCGCGAGTGGGAGGAGAGCCAGAAGCAGACCCAGGCGGCCGCCGCCCGCGGGCTGCGCGACGGCTCGCTGGGCTCCGGCCCCGGCCAGGGCGCCTGGGACGTCCACCAGTACGGCTACATGGGCGGCGACAACCAGAACCGCGGCGGGCCCGGCTTGGGCGTCGGCGGCGCCCGGAGGCAGATTATTGGGCCGCGGCCTGCGCCGTAAACCTACCTAAATATCTGCAGGAAGCTCACTTGCGGTTATTTCCGAATTCTCGGACTGGGTTTGGCGCTGGGGATGTGGTTGTTTTGACAACGTGTTGGTCATGGTGGCTGGTTAAAATCTGGTGAATGTTTTGAGGATCTAGTGATGGATGGAGGGGATCTAGTCTGCTGAAGAAGTTGTTCGTACTTTTATACCCGTTTTTTTGTCTATCAGCATGGTAATATTTGGAATTGAGATGCATTTTGTATGCGGTTTGTTGGTTTTGCTTTTTTTGACAGGCCCATTTGGAAAGGGACCATGGCTTGGTGGATTCTGTAGTACGAGTGTTTCCTTCAGAAGAACAATAAATAGAGGATGAACGATTGATCAAAATAAGAATGTAATTCAGATGCTCAACTCAAGAAACTTATCTCTGCTACAATCACAACAACAGGGTATCTATCTGGCTATTCGAGAAGAAAGCACTTCCTAGGTAAATTCGCCCGGGAATATAATATGACAAAAAAAAGGGGAAGAGACCAGCACGATCAACAAACACAGGCTGTGCAGCACAACACAAATTGAAAATGCCCAACTCGCAGCTTCAAACGCCCACGACCACCATCCACATCCAATCTTCTCGTCGAGAGCCAGAAACGTCTCAAACCGTGGCAACCGTCATCCCGTGATCCTCGTTCCCCTGCGTCAGCGGAATGATCTCTTCGACCAGGAACCACAACCGCCGCCCGCTTTCCAACAGCCACGCCCACTCAATGTCGCCCGCATGCAGGTCGGCCTCGCGCTTCTTCCGCCCATCGTGGATCGGGCGCCGCTCGCGAGCCATGATCCCCTCCCCGACGGCCTCCTTCAGCGCCGGGGTCACGGTCAGCATGTCGTTGTCGGCGAGCAGGATGATCAGCGCCTCCAGGGTGATGGAGATCTTGGCGTTGTCGGCGGGGGAGTTCGTGTTCGCGCCGTAGGGCAGGAAGCAGTATTCCAGCTTCGCTTGGCTGAGGTACTCGTCCGCCGTGTCAGGGGCGGCGGACTCGCGCATGCGGAAAAGCAGGTACTCGCAGAGGGTGGTCTGGGCGGCCGGGGTGAAGTGCGGGAGGGCGGTGGGGCTGATAAAGGCCTGGTACGAGGGGAGGGGCAGGTGGCGGATGTTCTCGGCGAAGAGGTGATACAGCTCTTCGAGAGGGATGAAGTGTTGGGGGATGGTCTCGGAGACGGTGGAGAGGAGGTGCAGGAGGCGTTGGCGGAGGGTGATGGAGCGCATGCCGCCGAGGGTGCAGGGGTCGGCGTGCATGGTGGCTAGGTGGCCGGGGGGAATCTGGTCGTCCGGAACATAGCGTTGAGAGGTAGGATCGGAGTATTTGAACGTGCCTGTAGGTGTGCCGTAGTTGTCGGGTGTCTTGAAGTTTGCCGGTGTGGTGAAGATGGTGGGTTCTGGGTGAGTCTCCTGCGGGCGAGTACCTCGTCGGGCTCGTTTTGACTGTCGGAGAGCAACACCACCACCAGCATCTCGTCTCGACGAGGCTGGAGTCCCTGCGCCGCCGCGACCGCGACCGCGACCGCGACCACGGCCGCGTCCTTGTGGAGCCCGTGGCTCGACGTCTTCGACAACAATGTCATCTGTCGTGGTGGTGTCACCGGCATCAACACTTTCCTCGTCCTCCTCATCGTCGGTCAGATAGTCCCCATACTCTTCCGCGTCGATGTTGACCCGCATCCCGCGCTTCTTGCTATTGTGGCTGGACTTCTTGTGTTTGCCGTGCTTGAGTTCATTCTCAAAGACCTCGCGGAACTCGTTGGAGGTTGTAGCCCGGCCGTCGGCGAAGATAGATTTCACGATTCGACGATTGCGGCCGTATGTGGCGCTAGCGCCATCAATGTAGCGCACGATGAGGCTGTCTTTCAGTATCTGATCGGCTGCATCGTTCGTCTTGGTCGTGATTTTGGACCTGCGCTTCGTAGTGTTCACATCCTCGGCGTCCGTGCTGGCGTCCTTGGTCTCTATCCACTGTCGATGGCGCTCATTCCAGTCACTTTCGAGCACCTCGCACATGAACTCGAGCCAGATCCGCCAGTGTTCCCAGCGCTCGTGGTGTAGTACAGAGCACTGGAATGCCCACCCGACGGCATGCCAGAAGTCCTCCGCACGAGACCAGATGGATTGTGATTCCCCCAGCTCGAGGTTTATCGGCGTCATGATATTCTCTGTCGCATCCGGCGAGGTGGGCGCGTCGTCGGCCCCGCGACGCCGGCGGCCATGGCGCGATGTTTCGAAGTGCGTGAAGGAGAATGCGAGGCCGAACTTGGCGGCTCTGGGCCCAACGAGCGCGTTGGTAAGGCGGAGGAGACGGAGGGATGCAATGGGGGCTTCTTCCTCCTCGGCTGTCTTTGCGCGAGTGGTCGTAGAGGGGTGTACAAGGAAGGTGGCGGCGACAGCCAAGTGCTGAGGAGGTGGAACGTAAGCTGGCGTATAAGCAATAGTGCCCGCGGTGAGAATTTCTAATAAGAAGTTAAGAGCTTGTGTATCTGGTGGGAAATGTGAGCATTCGCAAACAAAGGAGTAGATGGACTGTATAGAGCGAGACATACATAGCTTCTCTTCAAGGAAGATGCCGGAGTGCTGGACCAGCTCAAAGGGAAGTGGTTTCGCAGGACGATAGAGAGGCATAGATGCCTCTGCACCTTCTGGTATAGCCATCAAAAGCCGCATAGAATGATGTAGGAGTAAGTTGAAGAGGAAGAGATGCGATGCGCGAAGAGAAAGAATCGCGCCGATAATGGCTGATAGCCGGTCAAAGAAACGCGGCGCTTATCGATAGCCGCATTGGACGTGTTTGCTTCACGTCCCGCCTGCCGCTTTGTATGTAGCGATTTGTGTATATAAGTAGGAGATGAGTGATAGCCAGACAGCCTGTTCGATTTGCGTATCACTGATATGGACGGTTAAGTTCAAAAATGACCAAAGAAAAGAAGAGAAAAAAACGGCACAGAATAAGTCTAGCTGGGTGCGAGCAACATGTTAGGAGAAGTAAAAGAAAACAAACCAAAAAAAGAAAGTGGCGCTGCCCGGAATCGAACCGGGGCTGGCACGGCCACAACGTGACGTCATACCACTAGACCACAGCACCTGTTGTTGTGATAATCGCCCCAACTTAGCACCCTAAGTACATTATTTAACATGAGTAGAATGCAACTACATCGCATAGACTGCCAAGTCCACCTCTCAATCGCCTGGTGTGTTTGTCCATATGCTTGACGATAGATTACTGTGCCTCCTTGTTGGCGGCGGTGATATCCTTTATTAGTTAGGATATACAGACACTTGATCACTGCTCCACCTTGTTGCGACAGTAGTATCCTTTGTTATCAGGGTTGTCTTAGCTATAGACACTGTATCACGTTCTCTGGTGATTATCTTGAACTGTGACCACTTGTCCGGCCTTCGATCAATGCTAGACTGTTGCACGGTATACATATTACAGTGCACATCAGTGCACATTAGTGGGCCTTTTTACTGACAACCATAACCAGCTCTTTGATACTTGTATTCGCACCTGTATGTGTACATATGTGTATATTCCATTCTTGCTTCTGGAGCTAGATGGGCCGTGTGGTGGCAACCTCAACGCATAGCCCAGCATACTAGAACCTTTATCCAGCCATGTACTTGAACGTTGAGGTTCATACATTCAATGGGAAGGCAGCAGCAGCAAGGAAAATGATTCCGACTTGGAAAAACTAAGGTCATGCTCGGGACCCAGCCTTTGTTGACGGAGTACTTGAGGAGTTGGCAATATCCGCATCACTAGGAATTTTAAGCTCCAGCTTATCCGTGTCGCCAGACAGCGTACGTGAGAAGCTGCTGATGCTGGGACATAAAGTCCATGGGCAGTTACTCTGGTCGGTGTGGTTCAATCCGCTGCAAGGTGTATCTAGGTCGGTGACTGGAGCGACACACAGTCCGTGGTCGGTTACTGAGGTTGATGTACTGTACATTAGTTGCGACATGCCAATCCCCACACAACCAAACGCTGAGCCTTTGGTCCGACGTGAATAACGATTCTCCTCCGTAGTTGTCATACGCCCTGCGCCTGATGCAGTTGAACCGACGTCGTACACGGCTTGCATGCACGACGGCAATGCCGTGGAGACTTACTTGTGCGGTGACAAATGAATATACACCTGTCTGGCTCGCAGTTTCAGCTCCAGACCGCCAATTGAAGACTCTGCAAAGCGAACAAAACAGACTGTTGCATTGCGACAAACGCACATGATTGCTCTGAGGTTCGGACTCTTGTCAGCGACGACAGAGGACGTTGTCCATAGAAGCTCTCAATGCGGAAAGCGGCTCGGCTCGTACCTTGACATGCATGATGGCAGGGCGTCTTGTCACTTCGATCGCTGCCGGGCCGCCACCATGAATGTGACCAGGTCAGAAGCTTGCCAGTGTTGATCGAGTGGAGACTAAATCTCCGAGTGTTACTGTAGGATCGAGAATCGCCGGTCGGAAGAAGGTCTCGGACGGTTTGCAGCATCTCACGTGGTTCAACATCGCGCATAACCTTATTTCTGAGGTGCAGCCATGGGTTACACCGGTCTCATTGACTACGATCGCGGGCCTCTAAAGTGTCTGGTTCCAGGAGAAACGACGATGGATGTGCTCCGCGATGAAGAGAAGGAGGGGAAATGCGCTCCCTTCTGCTCAATTGCACAAACCGGGGGAGAATGGCGAGTCCAACATAAAAGCGCGGGGGAGGGCTCTTTCCCCAGGACATGAGGAGGCTATTCAAGTTTTGAATCGCTCATTGAAGAAGCAAGAATGATCTGGAATACTTTTCTTCAACTCGTCGTCGTTGTGCTCGGTATCCTCCAGTCAGTCTGGGGTTTTCCCACTGTCGAAGTTGAACGCGATGAACCCCAGGCCTCAGACCGATATGTCTTTGCCCACTTCATGGTACGTCAAAATGTCTCTTCACACCTCAATACCGCATCACCAAAGCTAACCACCCACAGGTCGGCATCGTCGAGAACTACCAAATAGAGGACTGGATCGCGGACATGCAAGCAGCGCAAGCGATCGGCATCGACGCCTTCGCGCTGAACTGCGCCAGCATCGACAAGTACACGCCAACGCAGCTGGCGCTGGCCTACCAGGCGGCGCAGCAGGTGGGCTTCAAGGTCTTCATCTCCTTCGACTTCGCCTACTGGACCAACGGCGACACGGCCAAGATCACCGCCTACATGCAGCAGTACGCCGCCCACCCGGCGCAGATGCAGTACCGGGGCGGCGCGGTGGTGAGCACCTTCGTGGGCGACAGCTTCAACTGGGGCCCCGTGAAGCAGGGCACCGCGCACGCGATCCACGCCCTCCCGAACCTGCAGGACCCGGCCGAGGCGTCCAGCAACCGGGCGCGGGCCGCGGACGGCGCCTTCTCGTGGTACGCCTGGCCCACCGACGGCGGCAATAGCATCATCAGGGGCCCCATGACGACGATCTGGGATGATCGGTATGTCAAGGACTTGGCTGGGACCACCTATATGGCGCGTGAGTGTTACATCATCTCTGTGGTTGCCAGCATTGGGGCATAACGAGCTAACGAAGCGACAGCCGTCTCGCCCTGGTTCGCCACCCACTTCAACAGCAAGAACTGGGTCTTCATCTGCGAGAACCTGCCGACCCTGCGGTGGGAGCAGATGCTGACGCTCCGGCCCAGCTTGATTGAGATCATCTCGTGGAATGGTACGCACACCCCCTCCTGCTGTTGCTGCCGATGAGGCTGATATGCATAACCCACACGGGAATATAGACTACGGCGAATCGCACTACATCGGCCCCTACGCGGCCAACCACAGCGACGACGGGTCCTCCAAGTGGGCCAAGGGCATGCCGCACGACGCCTGGCGGGACCTGTACCAGCCCTACATCGCCGCGTACAAGTCCGGTGCCACTGCCCCGCGGGTCGAGAAGGACAGCCTGGTGTACTGGTACCGTCCCACGCCGAAGGGGGTCTCGTGCCCGGAGGACAACCTCGGGCCCCCGAACGGGATCTCCATGCTCGGGGACAGTATCTTCGTGGCGACCCTGCTGACCAGTCCAGCGACGCTGACGGTGACCAGCGGGTCGAATGGCCCCGTGCGGATCGAGGTGCCCGCGGGGATCGTGACGTCGAACGTCTCGATGGGGACGGGCCCGCAGACGTTCACCATGAGTCGGAATGGGCAGACGATTCTGAGTGGACCGGGCGGGTTGGCGGTGCAGAGCCAGTGCAACAAGTCATATAACTTCAACGTGTATGTGGGGAAGATTGCGGGGGTTCGATAAGTTATAGTGTTGCTGGTTGGGTCGTCGGGGTCTAGGAATGCCGGCTGGGAGGGCGCTGCGATGATTGGTTTTTAGTCTGACCTGCTTAAATTGAATCCGAGTCTATGCATGCTATGGGTCATGTCGCATAATAAGTGAGCAACTCAATTTTCCTGGGAGTAGTAGTAGTAGTAGTCGCAGTTGAATGGCACCGAGAATGAGACCGCACCAAACCTTGGAACCCGGAGCCCGAGAGAAACTAGGGCTAACAGTATACGGTACATACCACACACCCCTTGTATGTACTGTATAGGGTCTCGAAGGCAAACCCTATATAGAGAGACCAACCTACAACACCAAAAACACATATACTAAATCCCAAAATCCGAATCCGATATGCAAAAACCAATCTCAAGGTATAATCATAATTGCAGACACACCACCAAAGAATCTTCCTCTCCAGTGAGAGTGACCGACATTTTTTCAATATTTCGAACATTATATAAGAACTTCAAAAGGAAAGGAGGGAAAGGGGGAGGGACTGAGACTAGGTGATCTAGGGACCTAAACTATCAAGACACTGGACTGAGCGCAGGGCATCATCCCCGAATCAGCTACACCTACCTACACCCTCCAACCCCCTCAAAAGCAAACAGAAGAACTTCAAACCACCACCGTATCAATCAAAATCCCCCACACCCCGCCCTCAGGATCATTATCCTCCACCGTCGCCAGCCACTCCTTGACCGACTGCACCGCCTCAGGCGTGGGGCCCCCCTGCCCCCCGCCGCAGTCGACCATCTCCAGCCCACGGGTATCCGCGTCCGCGTCCGCGTTCACCAGGCCGTTCACCTCCCCACCACCACCACCACCGCCGGGGATTGTATAGTAATCCGACTCCAGCAGCTCAGTGTAGAAGCGCACCTGGTCGGCCCAGAAGATGGCGCCGCCGAACCGCCGCGCCCCCGGGTAGGGCCAGCGGTCGCGCAGCAGGCGCATCCGGCAGTGGAGCTCGGTCCGGGCGCGCGCCCAGCCTTCCGCGGAATGCAGCGCGGTGGTCGGGGCGGGGCGCACGATCAGCCGGATGATGGTCTTGCGGGGCCAGGCGTCGAGGAAGGGCCGCCACTCCGGGTAGCAGGCCATCTCCAGGTTCTGCATGCTGGCGGCGCTGCTGGTGCTGGTGCTCCAGGGGGGTAAGGTGGACATTCTGGGGGTTCGGGGAAGGGCGGGGAAAAAAAAAAAAAAAAAAAAAAAAAAAAAAAAGGGGGGATTGGTTGGTTGTTTTGGGGAATTTTGGGGCTTTGGGTTAGTTTGGGGATCAGGTATCTTGAGGAATTTGGGGGTTTGGGCTTGGGGTTTGGGCTTGGGGTTTGGGCTTGGGGTTTGGGATGGAGCCTTCCTGTTGACATGGTTGTCATGGTTGGCGGGGGTTATATAACTTTGGGATGAAAGGTAAGTTTGTGGAGTTCGCCTGTAGAATGTCATTATCTTAGTGTTGTGTAATGGAAAGGGGTCAAGGGGATGGTGATTGATAAAGAAGCCGAGTTGCTTGAGATCTGAGGACAAGGAGCGCTGGTAAGGAGGGATAAAGGAAGGATTCCAACTGGCATCCTCCGATGAAGAATATGGAATCTTGTTCTGAGGGGGGATTCGATGTGCATGCTGCTATCAGTCCTTTGGAGACAGCGCGGCACAGCTCGATACAATGCTCGAGTGCTGGGACCTCAATGCGATAATGGCTTTGTTTTAGACGAATGTGGAACAATGAAGAACTCTCCCGCCGAGCACTACTGTGGCATGTAGTGACTCTATGCATCACATCAGTTGTACATCAGTTGTAATGAAGTGGGCTAATGCGCCCTAGGAAGCCCTGACTGTTGACGTCCGATCCCTGGAGTGGTGTTGTATACCGCACGTGACGAGGTTCAAGAGGTGAGGTCCCACACTGCTCGATGTTCAGGCGGATTGCCAACATCATTATCGTCCTTCAGTGGGCGAGGGTGTTAACCCCAAGGATGAGGTCCACGGCGTCGACCCCTTTTCTATACCCAGTATTATCCCGAGGCTACCTTATCGTCGAACCACAAAGTGGACACTGCAGGCCTATTCACAACAGAACTACCAAGACAATGCACCAGCAAGTAATAATGGATAGGATATATAGGTAGGTAGGTAGTGTGTAGTAGTGATGATGGTGAAGATAATTTCGAGAGCATGGAGAATAGGAGTACAAAACCCCTCCGTTTCTCCCCTATTTTTGGGTTCTTCATCTAGTGTAGCCCGCCGTCCCCTTTTCACGCCATCGCCCAAACTCCTTCTGCAAAGATGAAACCACAATTCAATTGTCTTTCCACCCCAGTTTCCAGTTTCAAAGTGAGGAACCCCCAAGACAGGCCTGTCCTCCCCACTTCGCATGGAAGGTACCCTGGAAAAACACACCGGCACAAATTGGCAAGATGAGTGCCCCACTTGGTCTTCCCCAAATGTGGCCGGAGGTCCTACCCCGATGGCGGACCGTGTGGGGTCGAAGAAAAGGGGGACATGAAGGTGATGACAGCGAGAGACGCAGGGGAAAGACAACATAGATGCCAAGTGGAGAATATTAGCAAAGAATGGAGAAAAAAGATAGGAAGGAGGACAAGTCTGGAAGATGAGAACATGTGAGTTGGATTAAGATAAGGAAATTCGATGAGCCGGAGCAGCGAGCGACTACTCCTCGGGAATGTCAGAGAAGAGACCTATTCGCAAACGGTGCGACTGGCAGAGAGAGACGGGTTAGTACTGCGATACTTCCGCCTGAGACGGTGGGGCCCAACTCACAAACGGCAACTTCGGGATGACCACCCCCAACGTAGCGAGGAAGTTGATAGTGAAATACGTCAGGTCGTAGTGGGTATAATGCGTGCTGAGAAGGAAAAGGCAGATGGGCACGCAGAGCAGGAACTTCTTGGTCGGCGTGTATTGGTCGCCGTTGTCAATCTGCTCCCACATGTTGAGGTTGTCGTACGCCCCGGCGTTGAACTCGAAAGGGATGCCCCGCACCCAGTGAAACATGAGGAAAGAGCCGAACATATAGCTGATGTTGGTGAGCGTCCAGGAGGTTTCTTGCGAGACGCCAGGAATGATGTCGAAGAGAATCTTCAGAGCCACGATCAAGACGAAGTGAATGGTCCAGGCACCTAGATTGTCGTCGTACAGACCGTCAGCCACCTCGTTCATTCTGTGCGTGACTGCCCGCTGGAATTCGCGCCCGCCTTCAGTTATCCCAACTCACCCTTAGCATTGACCCAATTTGCGTTCAGATTGGGGAGGGCAGCCTGGTCGCTGGTCCGCTCGATGGACTCGGGAGGCTCCTGATAAATGATACTGCTCGACCGTCTCCTCCGCCCAGCCTTGCCTGAAGACATATTGGAGTCCGGAGTCAGCCGATGTCGGCCGGTGTCGACTTCCGGAGGGAAGGAGATGGCACGGGGAACGAGTAGAGAAGACACTTTGGCGGTATTATCGCAAGAGCAGGAGGAGGGGATAGTCGGAAAGGAGGAGAGGTGGGAATCTTGGCACGAGGAAAGAGAGAGTCGCAGGTTAGAGAGGAGTAGGAACCGAAGAAGAGGAAGAGGGATTGATAGAGATTGAGATAGAGCGGAAAAGAAAGGAGAGGGTGAGGTAGTTTGATCGAGGAAGACAACCAAAGCAAGTAAGAAAGAGAGATAAAGAGTAAGTAAGTAGTAGGTTAGCAGGTAGCAGGATGGGGGGAAGGCCGATGCGAATTCGACTTTCGATTAGAGGCGACGGCGAGACGGGCGAGATCTGGTGAGAATCCCCGACTGGTCACGGGAGCACGGGTACCGTATTCCCGTTACCGGCTGTATTCTATGCCTGCTACCCAGCTCAACTGTCCGGAGAATTAGGTGGTTACAGCGAGTAATATTACAATTATGTGAAACAGATAAGGACTTGGAAAGGATTCTGAATGTAATAGATGCAAAAGATGCAAAAGCTGCAAAAGGACACCAAGTAAGGTATGAATGCCTTCCGGGTTGCAGAAGGCAAAAAAAAAAGAAATGATGACAGATGCCCTGATCTCCGAGGGGGGCTCCAGGAGACAGACACAAACAGACAGACAGAGAGAGACACAGACAACTAAGAATAGATAACGCCAAACGAACCGACCGAACGGTCGATCCGCAAGAATCCAGCCATTAGTTCCTCGGCAATCGACGCAGAGGCGTTGTTCTAGACGCTCATCGATCTGCTGCAGGTCAAACTACAAGTCACATAAGTCCAGTTAAGAGTCTTGGGAAGCAAATAATGCATCCGGAGGTACGTAACCACCAGAATCAAATAAGATAATAGCATTGCTACTACTAATAATGTGCCAATTTCTTGCCTGGCTCCCGGTCGGTCCATCCTAATCGGGTAAGGATGGCGCTCACCGCCTTCCGTAAATTTCCCCAATCATGCTTCAACTTTCAAGTTTAGTCTTCGCGTTGCACAAAAGCACTTTCGACTCTTCGCCAGTCATCATCCTCAAAGACCAACTCTCCTCCGCCCCGCCATTACCTTCCTTCTCGCAGCATGTCTGCTCCCCCGTCCGATGACGGTGACTCCCGGACCGCCGCCGTTGGACAGATGAATGGCGCCTCCGTTCGCTCCTCCCGGCAAAGTTCCCACGACTCGAACCCTCACCCTCGAAAGCGGCAACGACGCAACGGCGCCGCGGACGACCGCAAGGTCCAGGATTTCGTGCCTCAGGGAGCCACCTTTAGCGCCCACTCGCTGGATGTAGATCCCGACGACGAGACGTCTTCCTCCGGCTCCGATAGCGAGTCCGTGAGCACCAGTTCCTCCGAAGAGGAAGGGGACAAGGCCGGCGCGGCAGCAGCACCGCCCGTCAGTTGGAACAAGGGCAGCAAGAGTGCGATTCGGACGTCACTCCGCGGGAGTCGCAACGCAGCTGAGGGGAATCAGTCGAAGCCCGCTGCGTCGAAGTTCGACGCGGTCAATGACAAGTTCTGGCGCAGCCGGAGCGCGTCGACTTCCTCGGCCAGTGGCCGCGGCGACGCCGCACCGAACAAGTCCGATCGCGACGATGAGATGGAGGAGGGCGAGGTAGACGAGGCGGAGAGCTCGGCGGAATCAAGCCAGATGCAGGGATCGGTGGACTCGGATGACTCGGACTCGTTGGATTCGGAGGCGGACGACTCGATCCTGTTGAATATCGGCGAGCGGGGTCCCGGCCAGAATCTGGGTCAGACTCAGGATGGCATTCTGACCCCAGACGGCGACGATGAGTACGAGCCGGTCACCAATGGTTACAAAAAACGCGGCGCACAGGACGATCTCATCGACTCCCCGAAGATGTCGAAGGAAGATGCACACCGCCGATACGCCCAGAGGTACCCGACGGCTCCCTCCGTCCTCGCCGATCTTCACCGGGAGGACATGGACTTCCAGGCGAAGTACAGGTTCTACGACCGGGACATCAACGCCATCGATCTCCAGCTCCCGATTGCCTGTACGGAGTGTTTACAAGAGGGCCACCTGGCGGAAGTCTGTCCCTCGAAGGAGGTATGCCTGCTTTTTTCGATCACAGCGCCCCCTTTCAAAGGTAGCTAATCCAAGACAGTGCGTCCATTGCAATGCCTGGAACGAACACCAAAGCAGCCTATGCCCCACCTGGCGCCGCTGCCAACGCTGTCGCGAGCGCGGCCACGACGACGACACCTGCCCCTCCGCCCTGAAAGGCTCCGCCTCCGAGACCCCATGCGACCTGTGCGGCTCGTCCGACCACCTCGAGCTCGACTGCGACATGATGTGGAAGCTCAGCACCCAACACGACTCCACGTCCGGCCCCGTCCTCGTCTCGATCTCCTGCGCCAAGTGCTGCAGCAACCGCCACCTCATCGGCGATTGTCCCTCTCTCAAGAAACCCCTCCTCTCGTCCACCTGGACTCTCCACGGCATTGACCCGGAGATGGTCACAAACACCAACTCCGTGGTCAATAATTCCCGACGCGGCGGCGGCAACCGAGGCGGCCAAGCGCCGGGTCCCCGCGGCATGAAGATCCGCGGTCGGGCCGACCAGCACCGCCCACCGTCCTCCGACAGCGACGACATGATGAGTCGGCTGCGTCAGCCCGTCAACCGCAGTAATAACAACAACAACAATAACAGCAATCGCGGACATATTCGGTTCGGAGCTGGCATCGGCGCGAACAATAGGAATATTGCACCGCCTGGTGGTGGCTATCGACAGCGGTCCTTGTCGCCGAACGGCCGCCCGGGTCGCGGTGGCCGTGGCGGCGGCGGCGGTGGTGGAAGAGGCAGAGATAGTTACCAGCCCTCGTCCGGAGGTCGAAATGCGAGACCGCCACCCGCACCCTCGCGTCCGGCCAGAGGCGGCGGAGGAGGACGTGGTGGTGGTCGGGGTGGGAAGAGAGGAGGAGGGCCTGGTGGAGATGCGTACCGTCCGCCGCGTCGCTGGTAAAAAGGCGTGGATCGATACAGGATGTGAATGGTTGATTGAGTTGACACGACTGATACCCCCTCTACGAGTGGCTGCGGGTATAGATGCATGTTTGCGTACTTGGTAAAATACCCCGGGATGATTATCTTTCTTTTATCTGTTTGTCTTAGTATCTTCCCCCGAGACGGAGAGGAACCAGGGCAGGTCCTTTCTTCAGAGCATTATGTACAAAAGCCACAAAAAGCCATTGTCTTTTCTCTATTGATCTAAATCATTGGGTCGATGCCGCGGCCGTGGTGCATCGGTTGTGGGAACTTTGTTTCCACCTCTGTGGCCGACGAACCCTTGGTCAAGGATGTCAACCAGCTCGTCTAAACGCTCAATGCAGAGATCGGTATGCTCGTGATCCTCCAAATGAGCATTATGGTCGTTGAGGAGGAGCACGGTCGCGGCCCCCGCCGTATGCCCAGCCGTCATATCATCGAGACTATCTCCGACCTGTCCACGGATACAGCATTAGCAAAACATTCAGTCCGTATGACCAAACCCTGCCCTTCATACAACACTCATCCATACAGGCAAGGGGCGAAACAAACGCACCATAATCAGCCCCTCCCCACCATCCTCCAACCCCCACTCGCTGGCAATATGCAAAATTCCCGCCGGATCCGGCTTGGGCAACAACCCCGGCGTCTCGCGGGTGATGATCGGGAGGAAGACGTGCGCCGGGAGATGATTCTGCAGGAGATTCGTCACGGGAGCCCTATTTGTTTCATTTTCCCACCGTAGTCAGCAAGCCGCTGCCCTTCCTAGGCAATAGGCGAGGACGGGGAGGCGCACTCAAAATTCCGCGTACACAACGCCCGTCGAATCCCCCGCTGCTCCAGATAATCCATCAGATCCACCAGCCCCGGTTGCGGTTGCTGGTGGCGCATGGCCTCCCGTTCGATGGCCTTGATTTTGTCGGCGGCTTCGAGTTGGGCGGCGGCGGTGGGGAGGCCGGCGATGTGGTGCAGAATGTCGGTTCTTTTGTCGATGTTGAGGACGGCTCTGTTTGGAGGTTTAGGATGATGGATAGGTGGATTTGGGGATCGAGGGTGTATGCCGGGGAAGGGGGGTTTGGGTTTACCGCATCTCGGCGAACATGTAGTTTTGGGGGAGGCTTTGCGTGGATTGTTAGATTATTTGGGTTAGTTGCAAGAGAGGAGGAAGAGGAGGAAGAGGAGGAGGAGGGATAAAGCATGTGGTTTATCATCTGAAAGCTCACCATAATGTGCCGTCGACATCGAAGACGATGCCCCTCAGCGCGGGTGCGGAGGAATCTCGCGAGTTCTCCGCATTGAGGGGCGCGAAGCGTCGTTGACGCAGGGGGGATTGCGGAGCTGCTGCTGAGGAGAGAGTAGCCATGAAGCAACGAGAGAGACGCAATGAATTGAAGGGAGCAAGGAACATTGAGTTGGGCTCATTCAGGATGCTAAACGGAGAGAGTGGAGAAGGAGAAAGGGCGAGGGGGAGAAAGTCTGACGTTTGCGGGTCCGAGTGGCTCCGCAGCCGCCGATAAGATAAAGAAAGTCATCGTCGATGGAATGCGGAGACAAGAACATATCACTATACTGCATGGTCAATATTGGATTCGTGTCTCCTCTGCAATGCAGATACTTATCATCCATCTTCCTCATGTCTATTGAAACTCAGCATGTAAGGACCAGCCCACAGGGTGGTTCCTTCCTGCAAAGCCCATGCACATCCTCCTCACTCCTACCACCACCACCACCACCACTCCCAAACCCTGCCTCCCTTGAACAAAATAACCTCGAAACCACACCATGGAAGCATTTACTATCTTTTTTATCTCACCACCCCCTCTTCCAACTGCCACATTTACAAGCCTCAACCCACCTGCTCGATCGTCCATCACGAAAATGGCCTCCGCCTCTGCTGCTGTCCGCCGCCGCAACGACCAACCCTTCCTCCCGGGTGCCAGCCTCACTCGCGCCCTCCATCTCACGGTCACCATCCTGATGCTCAACCTGCTACTGTTCGTGGCATTCCTCCGTGACATCGACCCGTCGTCCGAGCTGTCCCACCGCAACGGCCTCTGCCAGTCCATCCGCCGCAAAGAGCGTCGCATCATCCGCCTCAGCTCCCTCATCCTGGGCCTCGAGCCCGCCGACCCCTCCCACCCCGATGACCCCGAAGCACATCCGCGCCACTCCACCATCGACGCGCAGGTGATGCAGAGTCTCGTGCCGTCGTCTCCCACGGCCACCGAGCGAGTGAGTGGCTCCTCGCTCCGACCGAAACGGCCGCTGCCTGCTGCGAGCATCCTCTCCCTGCGGCCGTCCAACCGTCCTGTGAAGCGTAGTCGAGGAGACAGCGCCGTGACTAGCCACTCCGTGGTTGGCATCAAGACGGCAGATCCAGTTTTCGGGGGGCACCAGCAACAGCAGCAGAACGTCGTTTACCCGCCGCGGATGAGTGACTCGATCTACTCGGCCACCCTCAGGAGGAGTCTGTCGCTGGGGTCGTCGCGCCGCCAGAGTATGGTGCTGCCTCACATCCGCTATTCCGGGTTCATGACGGAGCGATTGCGATTCAGCGTCTTGAGCCAGCCGTGGTCGATGGTCTCGGTCGTCGCGCCGGATAGCGCTGAGGTGCCAGCGCATCACCGCGCCGAGCCCATCCTGGTCGAGGAGACGATGGAGCGGCTGCAGCCGGCGTGCTCGGTGGACAGTTATCCGGGCCAGTTTCCCATCAGCGATGGGGTGGAGTTGAGCTGGTTGGCCACGGCGACGCAGTGTCCTGGTGCTGAGCTGGCAGAAGATGAAGAGAACAACTCTCCCACAGCTCCTGGATTGCAGACTGCTGTGAGGCCTTACACCGAAGTTTAAGGTAGTGTGTGTGTGGAATGTTTTCAGGTCAAAGATGTAAGTATCATTAACTGAACTGTACCTCAGAGTATACAGGCTTCTCATGCTGTGCGAGAGAGCATTCATGCATCCGCAATGACAGGGACCTGGTATGATTGTACTGTACAATAACGGAAAAGCAACGCGCGCTCAGTGTATACCTTATATAGCTCAGTCACAAACAGACTTCCTTGTGAATGGCATGATCCAGATACCCCATAGCCCTGACAAAGATCTTGGCACTCTCCAAGATCCGTTTCTTGCTGTCCCCGTGCGTATGCATCCCCACAAACGCGCCATATGTCGAATCAAAGTCGGTGTGCTCGATCGCCTTCCAGATCTTCAACACCTCATCCGGCGGCAGCGGTATCTACCGTCAAGTCCAAGTCAGCATATCTCATCGCCCCACTGTCTTCCACAAAGCCCCCCCCTCAAAAGAAAGAAAGGAACACCAAAAGAAGAGACAAACCATATTCGGATACGACCACAGAAACGTAAACGACGCCGTCCCAGGCAACCGATCGACATGATAGATCCCACTCGGCACCGTCCCGATCGTATCGGCGAGGAGCAGCGTCCGCCACGACCGCCACCACAGCACCGTGCTCCCCGGGAAATGGCCGCCGGTCTTGATCACCTCCAGCGTGTCCTGCCCCTGGGCCTGACCTCCACCTGGGCCTAGATTACCCCCCGCACCCTCACCCTCATCCCCACCCCCACGCTGTTGCTGTTGCTGTTGCTCCCCCAACACCTCCAACAAATCCAACCGCCCCCCACTCCAGAAAACCTGTTCCTGCTGCTCACCCCGCCGCAGAACCCACTCCTCATCCTCCCGCGCCAGATAGACCGGACAGCCGAACGCCCTGGCCCACTCGAGGTGCGTGGCGTAGTAATGCGGGTGCGAGATGACGATGGCGCGCAGGCCGCCCAGCGCCTCGATTGTGGTGACCGTCGCGTCGTCCAGGAAGGGGATGCAGTCCCACAGGATGTTGCCGTGGTGGGGGGTGCGGCAGAGGAAGGCGCGCTGGCCGATGGCGAGTTTGGGGACGGTGTGGATTGCGATTAGGGAGGCGGTGTTCAGGTCCGCGTCGTTGGGGGAGCTGTGAGGGTCGGATTTGGGGGTATCTGTGGGGAGGAGGGGGTGGAATTCGTTGTGGTAGGTGTGCGTTTCGTGGTGCTGGGTCTGGTCGGGGCTGGTGCTGGGGTTGCGGAGGGCGCGAAGGGTTGTCCATGATTGTCTGCGCTTGCCCGGGTTAGTCTTCTGCTCCAGAAAGTGCTGGGGAAGGGGAGGTAGGGACGGAATTGGTGCAGGGATTCTATAAGGATGTGACTCCGTGCTTTAGTGGCGATACGTACCCCGTGGGAGGGATGAATTGGCGGGGATCATCGCAGATCTTGCAGTTGGGTGGGGGGGAGGTGGTCGGGAATTGCGTGCCGCATGTTGCGCAGATGATGAGATCGAGGGATGATGACGAGGATGATTGTGAGACTGGCATGGTGGATTGGGAAATGCAAGTTGAAGTTATCATGAAAAGAGGTTGAGGACAGGACGAGAGGTGAGGAGTAGATGGACAAATTCCCGGTGAGGGGAGGGTCGGAGGGTCTTATACTTCGTGTTGATTACCCCGCATAAGGAACCTTTCCGTGGTTCATGGGCCATTAAACACGATAGAGCTCAGATCCATGGCAGGGCCATGGCGGTTGGAGTCCCCATGTCATCATGACTACTGGGTACTAAGTTGACTAACATACAGGACAGCTATGCGACCCCCACTTATAACGCCCCCCATTCTTCTCGTAATGTACCACTCTCATGCCAGCAACCACAAACCGATAAGCTAGGGGCAATCATGGATAGCTATGGAGTACACTCACTATGCATAGGGGTTGCTGCTTATGCCCTTATGACCTTGTATACGTATACTGACTACATACTAACAAGTATCAACTAGTGGGTAGAACCATCTACAGGTTTACACCCCAGTCACCCAGTGCATCAAATCAACTCAATATGTAGCGCATCACTATGTGACAGCAAGGGATACATGGTATAACAAAATTCACAGGCGCAACCTCGTCCACCCACACAAAAAGAAAAATTACGCTCGCACAAATGCAAGACGCTGGTCATAGCACATGGTGCAACTAGTCATGTCATTATGTCGTAAACGGTCCGCATTCAACAAAACAATGAAAAGAAAGGGTATCAACTGAAATCAAATCAGAAACGTCTAGTCAAGCTCGGCATCAACTTGCTCCGGACTGGCCGCTCGATACTGGCTTCGCTTCCGTCGGGCTGGGCTGTACTGACTGCCCGAGTTGAGGGGACGAGGCCCCGTCGGTTTGCGCGGCGGAGGCGTGCTGCGTGGGGATTGAACAGCAGAACTCTACAAAAATCTCGTCAGCATGGCTCGTCTCAGCCGTCCCTTCCAGGAATGCACACTAACCCGTGAAACAACACGATCCATATAAGATCGCTCGTCATCATCTTTGATCTTCGGGGGCCTCTCCGGGATCAGGGGGCCTTCGTCTTTGATCTTCGGGGGGCGTGGAGGTCCCGTCTGGCGAGAACTCGCTTCTGAATAGCCTGCGTCCGAGATGGGAGATAGCCGGCCGCCACCACTGTAGCGCGGGTTGGCATTCACACCCGACAGGCTGGGATTCGATCCCCACTGGTCGGAGGGTGCGATGTAGACCTGAGCCTGCGTTTCCAGCTGCGATTGGTACCGTCCGGTGGGTCCCTGGCGGGGTTGGGGATGGTGCAGATCGAGGCTACCGCGGTGAGCCCGGTATTTGGGCGTTTCAGACACCTGAGATGGCACCAACGGCGACGGAGGTCGGTTCTCATGTTGCTGGTCATCTAAGGTGTAAGTGGAGCGCAGTCGATCTTCGCCCTGAGGATCATAATAGTTCGTCGTTTGATATGGCCCCTGTGCAAGGTCGGACCCGGAGCGCGAAGCATCAAAAGACGCCCGCTCCTTGCGATTCGGTTGAATGCTGTTACGGATGTTGTCACCCATCGACGAGGCGGTGGTCTTCGACCAACGTGAAATTTTGGGGAAGAACGAAGAGCTGCTGGATTTGTGCTTCTTTGACTTCTCGGTAGTCTTCGGGGTGGTGTCAGTGCTAAGAGCCCCCGAAGCCATCGCCTCCCGAGGGGGCGTCGAGACAGGAGCCGAGCCAGTTCGATCCTGTCGGTTGTTGGGGTTTGGCTGAGACACCAGGTGAGGGCTCAGGAACTCTCCGCGATCGTCTTCCAAATCCTCATCAACCTCTTGGACCGTGCTCACACGGTTCTCGAGGCCTTTCCGGAACTGATTGGGATCCTGGACGAGCTGTGACGACGTCGAAAGGTATTCAGAGGGGTTCCCAGGTGAGGAAGTTCCCGCATGACCTTCTGGCTCATAGCCTTCCGGATCCACGCTGGCAGCCCGGTTACCATTGCGCGCAAACCCGTGATCTTGGTTTTGACGGAGAGCCTCAACCTCCTCCAGCAACTGCTCCAACATATCCTCGATCTTGGTCAGATCATTCGAGTTCTTCATGCTCAGGCCCTTGAGCGCCCGTTTGAAGATGTTCTTCCGCTTCTGGCTCAGTTCCTCGCCATCGTCCATAGACATTTGACGAGCGCTCCGCACACTGACCGGCAGTGGGCGTGGGCCCCCAACAGCCCGATATGTACGCTCGTGCTGTCTGTCGCTAGCCTCCATGAGCATTCCATCTTGCTGAGCGATGAACTTCTTCATTTCCTCGAACGAGTTGCGCATCTCGGCCGCGCTTCGAACCAGCGTCACCAGAATCTCCGTATCTCTTGCGTTTCGTTGCGCATCGCGAACAGTAAGCTTAGAAAGTGTCAGCAGAGGTTTCTAAGTATTGGTGAAAGGGAATTGGAACTTACATGGTCCATGAGTGCGACAATATCCTTGGACTGAATACGGTCGATGCCTTTGCCGGTGGCACTGTCATATAGCGGAGATCCAACCCCATGGGAGTACCCACTCAGCTGTCGCTGATGGCCGGGCGTGAAATCATCAGCTCCCATAGGGCTGTCGAACATACCCATATTGGTATCAATCCCTCCCAACCCCTTTTTAAGTGGTTCAGGCGTATCAACGCTTGGAGAACGGGGATTAGCAGCCGAGACATAGCCCTCGTCTTTGGCTCCAAGGGGTGTCCCAAGCAATTGCCGCGAATATTGTTGGTCGTAGTAGTCATTCGCAGCATATTCGTCCTCAGGGTAATAATCCTGGTCATATTGCGCGTGGTCGACCGACCCCAGACCCAGGCCCGCACCAGCACCCGCACCAGCACCCGCACCAGCAACGGCGCCGCCCTTATCGAAGAGAGGAGACGGAGCATCTTTGGAAGGCGTCTGATTGAACGACCAACTAGCTTCTTGAGCCGCCGGTCCTTGGATAATGGAAGGATTGGTGTTGATTTCCGATTCTGTATCTGGAAGTGGGTCTTCCTCGGGAAGGGGGCTCTGGTCGCGGATTCCGGCGAACATGTGAGTCGGATCTGTCAGATCTTCGTACGACTGGGTGACACTCTGAGGAGGCGAAGTGGCACCCATACGCCTTGGGAATGATGTAGCATCAGGACTGGACACATTGTGGCCTTGCTTGAGGGGACTTCCTTGGCGAGAAGCATGCGGAGTCTCCTCCGGTTTGTCCATCACCTCATCCAGGTCACTTTCTGCTTGTTCCGGAATGTCGTTCATGGAGCGATTAGCAGCAGACTGGCTGGACTTGGTGTCTAGAATAGTGGGATCCAATAGCGAGGCCACTGCCGACTCTACGGCGAGGGGATGGACAAAGCGAGGATTGGCGGCAACGCCTTCAGCGACAGGTTGGCCTTGCTTCGCGTGGTCCATGAAAGTAACCTCGCTGTCCTCGTTGTGTCCAGACATTCTGTTACGCTCCGTGCTTGCAGTCGAGTGGGCATAATCATCGCCGTCGTCTTCTCCATCTGAATGTTCAACCCAGCGACTGCCTCGTGGCGATGCTCTAGGCGTCTCCTCGTAGCCCAGCTCGTGTCCAGGATCATATTGGTTTCTAAGGGATTCGGTCTGACTATTGATGCTGAGTCCCTCCGGGCGGGTTGACCTTGCGAGGTTGGTGCTGGGAGCAGACGAGAGCGAATCAATCGACAAACGTGGCTCCAGCCCCTTTTCATCGTCCGAAAAGTCGTGGCGATCATAAGACGTCGAGTTCTGCTTTATCGGAGACTGACTGATGTTGCTCGCCACGCTTTGAATTGGGCTAAGTGTCCGTCGTCGGCTTGTAAGGTCACTATAATCGGTGTCATGATGTCCTGGATGTACATCAAGCAGGTTGGCTGCAGCCGCCGCCGCAATAGCTCCGGCCGAAGCACCCCCGACGGACGAATGACTCGAGACGCTGCGCAGAGACAAGTTATGGCTAGATAGGTTGCTGTGCTTGAGTTTCAAATCATGCTGCGAGCCCAGAGAAGCCTGACCCGGGGAGCGTGGAGTTGGGGACATAGTCTGATAAAACGACTCACGCAAAAGGTCGTGCTCTCTAGACTCCTCGTAAGGGTAGGGGTCGGCAGACTGCTCTGAGAGCAGTGAAGCCCTTGTCAGATCTGACTCGATTGCACTGTGTAACGGCATGGGAGCAACGTTGTGTCTCTGGAAGACCAGTTCAGTTTCGTTGATGCCTCCTATCGGGCTGTGGGGGCCGCTGCTTTCGCGTCCTCCTTCGCTACTAGCCAAGCTCGACCGCGAATCGTGATGTTGCAGAGCCGCCGCTGTTAGAGCGCTACCGACGATGCCCGCTTTTTCTGCCTCGCGCAGCCCTTTGCTTCGCTGGCGCCGCAGCTTTTCTTGCTCAGTCAACTCTGGTCGATTGGCCCATTTGATGTAGCCAATATCTGGAGACTTCTCGCTACCCTTACTCGATCGCCGCTCGGCCCGAGAGGGGACCGAATCTCCCGATATAGTGATTCCCTCGTCACGACTATCCTTGTTGAGAACAACTTTCGGCTTTCGAACGTTAGGCGCACTTGCATGTTTTGACAGTCGCCTTCCGAGTCCATCCCGTGAAGGTGTACTGGCGGACGAGTGCGAGGCGTTCATGTCCCGGTCAAACTTGGAAGTATTCGACATGACTTTTTGATCTTTCTTCAGCTCTTTCAGTTCGGGCAGGATCAACCTCCGAATCGCGTCTTCGACGGTTTCAAGTAGTTTCGGGTTGTTGATGGACGATTTGGAGGTCCCGGATCGGAAGGAGTACTGGTCACCGGATCGGCGATGCGAGGAGACGGCCGAGGCGCTGAGGAGGCTGGACTCGGGACTGATCATGTTGTCGTGTCCTCGATGCCGTGAAGACTTGAGATCTGCCTCCTCACTGTCGTCGAACTTACTTCTCTCTGCCCGTCGACGCTGTCGGGAGCTGTCGCGAGGATCGTTGCTAAGCTTTTCTGCCACGCGATGAGCGATCCGCTCGGTGCTTAAGCTGCGACTTCGTTGCCGTCTCGGGGTCTTGAGGTAGTCTTTGGGCTCGTGGCTTGGACCTCGCTCTAGGCTTTGACTGCGTTTGCGACGGAGGCCAGACGAGGGGGCATCAAGCATGCTATCTGCAGGCATGGAGGAGATATCCGAGGCGGGCAGCATGTACCGTGTGTCGCGCGACAGGCTGGAAACCTCACTACCACGGTGGCGATCCATGAGCTCGATCTCAACGGGGGAATGACCAGGAGGCTGGTTCTCATCGGTCGCTGAGTTGGAGGAGCTTATACTTTGATCATCGGGGCCGGACTCGGCCAGTAACCGGTGCTTGTGGGGCGAGCTGAGGGAAATGCGGCGAGAATAAACCGGTTTACGGTTGCCGCTAGACTCGGTGATTTGAATATGGTCTCTTTGGTCCTTCAGCTTCCGCGCGGAGGAAGGGGTCACTCTAACACGGACGCTGGGCCGGGAAACCAGGGAGCCAGAACCCTTCCCGCCCTCGAAATACTCGATGAGCAGGGAGGTCTGGGAGTGTTGCGACGAGCGGGACAGCTTGGAATCGTCCCCGCGGGAACGATGGTGTTGTTTCCGACGGGTGGGGATAGTGACGGGAGTCCCGTCGTCTGGAATGGAGTAAGAGGTTTTGTCTGTGCGGCGAGAGATGTCAGTTGCCAGATCAGTGCCTGTAACGCTGCCGCCTGTGGTGTTGGTGCCGACAATGGATTCAGTGGGGGCAGGCAGGACCGGTCTGCGGCGCGTTTCGACGCCCATCATGGTCGATAAGGAAAAGAATTCGAGGGAGTAAGTCTCGTTGTCTTTCCCTTTCTCAGCCAACCCGAATCATACTCGGTTCGGGTTTCTTTTTTTAGGACCTTGAGGGGGGGGGCTGGCTGATCTCTTTTTGGTCTTGATCTGAGATCTGGAGAAGGGAGAGAAAGCGTGCAGAAGAAAGGAGGGAAGGGATGAGAAAGGAAGAGTAAAGGGTAAGTGATGAACGGAATGGATGGATAGATGGATAGATGGATGACAGGAACTGGTTCTGGATCCCCGACTGCCAGTTAGCAGATTGGAGTCTCACCACAAGCTCGGACCGATCGGAAGATGCAGTAAGTGGGTTGGGTTGGAGGCAATTGCAGACAGACAACTGCAGACAAACAGATACAAGCAGAGATGGAAGTGAGGGAGTGGGAATGGAGGCAGGAAAGGTAAGGATGCGATCAATATCAGCAACAAGCAAAGGAAGAACAGCGTACCAGCACTGGAGAAGGTGGTGGGGGGAATGGATGGTTGGACAGTTGGATATTAGACGCGAGTGTAGCAACAACCACCCGCGGAAGAACTCAGCAAGATAGAATGACCTTAGTGAGAAAGGCGACTGGGAGAATAGGAAGAGAGGGAGAAAAGAGAACGTGCAACAAAGCGCGAGAGGGAAAGAAGAGGCGAGTTGTTGAAGATCGCTCAGTGGGAGTGGATGCTTGAATCAATCAATCATCTAGTGGGTGGCCATGTGCATTCACCGCAAGAGTCCCCATGCATTGGTGGCTGTCCAGCCAGAGATCACAGAGGGGAAGAGGGGGATGGAAGGGAAGGCAAATTAGGTTGTAAAAAGAAACAAAGAGCAATAAAAGACCAAAATAAATAAATAAAATAAAATAGTAATCTAGACGGAGGAACACCTGGAGGAAAAGGAAATCCAATTATCAGCCCAAAGAGGGAGCAGGAGTGAAGGAGATGGAATCAGGTACAAGACAGGGTTTGGCGGGAATAACTCCGAAGCTAACAGTCAGAGAGAGAGGGAGGGAGAAAGAGGGGAGAGGGGGGGAAGTGGGCAAGCAGCAAAAAAAAAGCAGAAGGCTGGTCAAGGAATATCAACACTTGATGATGGCTAGTTAGATTTAGCTGTCAGGTTAGTCCTCATCAACCATAGCCACCACTACCACCACCTTTCTTCCTCGTCGTCTCAGCCAAACTTAAGTAAGGTACGCCGATTACAATGGATGAGCTGGCACAGAATCGATTTTCTGAGACAAAAAATCAAATTCAAGACAGAGAAAAAGAAAAGAAAGAATTGTCACCCAACAACCACATCGAAACAATAAGAGCACCACTGCCGCCCTTCCACTAAGAGCATAAGCATCACTCTCCAGCCTCGCTCTCTTTGGGTTTCCCACCTTATATTCTGCCATGTAAGTGAGCTTTGATCGTCCTTGCTTTGGGTGTCCATTGCTCTCTTCCACGTCGGCTGGGATCGGTAGAAGTGGGCTTTCCCTTCTTACGTGTATGTCTCTGTGTGTGAGTGAGTGTTTCCCAGCAGAGTGAGATCTATGCAAGGTGACCGAGCTTTGCGCGATGATCTGAACCTCCCCTTGGGATCGAAGTATAAGTACCACCTATCCACCTCCAGAGGTGTTTACTCGAATCGTTCGATATCAATCGCTTTCCTCTCGGGTTTCCCGGTCTTGCCGCAATCAACCTGAACCGCAAGACAGCCTCGAGTTCCGTAGGATAGGAATTTTCCGCTCCAGGGATGGTGTCGACATTTCATACCTACCATGAAGCGACAAACGGGTTATTGCCCCCGTGGTGCAACCCAAGATGTGATCTGTATCCTGCCCGTTCGGCATTCTGTGTCTTGAGCGGTCCTATAACCGTTGTACAGGTGTGAGAGGGGAAGTGAGCCAAAGCGAACAAAAGAGCGAGTCGTCTTTTATCCCCTTTTCTGGCGAGGAGATGAGCTGGGAAAGAACAGGTTGTCGCGATTTGCGACCAGGGAATTGGCTGGGATTTATAGAGCATGAAACACGAGCAACCAGAACATTCGTAAAAGCAGCCCTCTCTATGACCCATCATAAATTCGCCACGATCTTCAGAGCTGAAACGAAGCGGCGTCACTATGGACCATCACCAGTATGGGTACTACACCAGTATCATCACCATCCTCATCATCATCTGCTTCATAGCGGATAGCATCAGATTCAAACGACTAGTGTAGGTACCGCAGAGGGAGACCGATCCAGGTTATCCCAGCAGTGGGCCTGCCCGACCCGCCGCGGACCCGCGGGCTTGAGAGTCTGACTTGTTCCCCAGGCCGCAGGCAGAGCAAAGCTCCGAAGTAGTCAAGGGCCAAGGCCCACCGACAAGGCCTGTTCGTTTTTCTGTCGTGAACACCCGCCGACCGCACGCGGGCCTCCAGGACGACCAACGTTCCGGTCTCTTCGGACGATAGAAAATCTGCCAACTCATCACGTCCCGTTGAATGCGAGACTCCCTCGGTGATTGGTGACCACCGTCACGAGGGTTATCCAGTAGGACCACAACGATCAAGGTTCAGGCTGCTTACTGCCATGTCGCATGCAACGTTGATTTTTTTTTTTGGATGTCGGATTTCTGGTGGCCATATGGGGTGGAGGTGAATGGGTGGATTCACGGGACGAACGACGGCAGGGGGATCCATCCATAGGTCACTTAGTCTCCCAGCCACCAGAAGGGGAGGAGAAGAGAGAATACCTAGGTCTACCCGACCAGCCACCTATGCTTCTTGCAAGTGGGAGACAAGGCTTGAAAGCAGGATGCATCTAACTCAAGACGCTGTTTTTCTCACAATTGGAGGTCTATCCTGCGGTGAGAGACCCGATCGGAGGGGGAAGCAAGCAATGGCAGCCGGCAGTTAGGCAGGAGCATATCGGACGTGCAGCCGTTTGACGGACCGGGCAGCAAGCAAGTTCTTTTGTCGCATGGATTGTTTATCCTGCAAAAGAACAATTGTGCACACTAGCAGTGCCCGTATGGAGCTTGTTTGTACCCAATAAGTTAATGGCGAATGCGAGCAAAAGGCGGAAAGGGAAGAGTTCGGTTGTTTTCTGGTCACTGAGAAGTGTAGAAATCTCTCTTCACAGCCCTTCATTCTAAGCTGCCAAATTAGGCAGGTAGATCTATAGCCGCCCCTCGAACTGGGGGGGGGGGGGGTGCTGTCCAAGCTGGAGACCATGCCATATTCGGTGGATCTCAACTTTATTAGAACAATGTACTTGGTCTTCAAGTTATCCAAATCCAATGTATTGATTCTAGGTAGCTAAGATACCGGTTCAACTGCTGTTGATGTGCAGTAAAGTGCTGAGCTCGGATCTGTTCAGAGCTTGCATCTGACAGGAATGCATGAAATTGGCGGTTGTACCAGTCATCTTACCGCAGGCACTGTCAACAATCCCAATCTTGGATGAAAGGCGTATCTTTGATCACGAATTATGGGACTACAGGCTAGTCTGTAGTTTCTTCATAAGGGAAGAGATGGACCAAGACTGGCTCAGTGACATTGATGCGAATGTTACTCGGCCATTACTGAATTGCATTTCAGCATATGAATCAGAGAGTATTCAATATCTCCTCATAGCTATGACTTCAATACGTCAAATTCCGACCTCCTGCTCTTCGGCTTGGATGCTTGGATGAAAAGAGGAACAATTACAATTGTGAATCAACCATATGTAGTAGACAAGCCAAATATCCACAGTATCGAACTCCGAGACTATATGCCAAAACTCAAAAACCGCACAATGTTACAATCAATCACTTTTGCTTTGCGCTGACTCATTCATCGTCGTGCTTCCGCTTGAACTTCAGCCCCTTGTTGTTGGGCTGGCTGCCGTAATTGCGCCGTCCCTGCTGCTGCTGTTTCTTGTCGCGGCTCATGCTGGAGCCCAGGGTGATATCAATGCGGGGTGGCGTCGAGAAGCCGAAGCCCTTGGCCACCTTGACCAGGTCGAGTTTGTGCACATCGAAGACGGAGCGGAGCGAGTGTGAGGCATAAGCCTGGAGATAGGCACGGTAGCCTTCCTTGGCGGACTGGATGAAAAGTTAATATCCGGGTCAGAACAACAGAGACAGTAGTCAAGCTTACCTTGTTCAAGTAGTAGTTCTGTCCGATCAGCTTCTCAAGCTGAGACTGGACATTGACGATCTTGCTGGCGGGGAAATCGAATTCCACAACGGGAACACGAGCCTCCTTCAGGTGCTTCAAGAATCCAACCTCGGAAGGCTGAAGGAACATCAGACTGCGTCCCTTACCGTTCACACCACGAGCCGTACGACCGACACGGTGAACGTAGTCTCTGGTGTCATCTGGGGGATCGAACTGGATGATCCAGTCGACAGCCGGAATCTAGAAAGGAAGAATGTCAGACTTGTGACTTGGATTGATGAATCATGGTAACGTACATCCAAACCTCTAGCAGCAACATCAGTACAGATCAAGGTTCCCTGTTTGGCGTTGCAGAACTCGAAGAAGGTGTTGGTGCGCTTCTGCTGCTTCTGCTTGCCGTGAAGGTCGAGAACCGGAAGATCGATATAGTTGAGCAATTCAGCGTGATACTTGACACAGTTACAGCTGGAGAAGAAAACAATGATCTTCTTCTTAAGGTTCCGCTTGAGGAAAGAGAACAGAAGCAAGAAGCGCTTGTCCGCTTCACAAATGACGTAGCCTTGCTCCAGGCCCTCGACCGTACTGTGTTCTTTGCGGTGGTCAACGTTGATGTAGAGAGGGCCGGGTCGCAGCGAAATGCGAGCCAAGTCCTCGACCTTGGTGGTTTGCGTAGCGGAGAACAGCATCGTCTGTCTTTCCTCGGAGGGCAGGATCTTAACAATCTGGCGCATTTCATCCTCGAAACCGACTTCGAGAATACGGTCCGCCTCATCTTAAAAAATGTTAGACCATCCAAGTTACTATCATACAACATCAACGTACCGATAACGAGCGTCTTCAAGTTCTTAAAGACGAATCCGGGTGTATTCTGCAAGTGATCGAGCAAACGTCCGGGGGTGGCAATAAGCAAATTCACACCCTTGGTGAGTTTCTCGGCCTCAGCTCTTCGGTTGGCACCGCCGATAACAATACCATACGTCTGGGAGTGGTGTGCCATCAACTCTCTAGCGACACCGAAGATCTGCAGGGCCAGCTCTCTGGTGGGGGAAACCACAAGAACACCAGTACCTATGACAAGCGGATTAGCACGCAAACGGATCGAACGATCGAGCCAATGGAGCACGCACCGTTACGGGGCTTGAACCGCAGAGCGCTCAGCATCTCCACAGCAGGAATCAAAAACGAGAGGGTCTTTCCAGAACCAGTCTTAGCAGCACCAAGAACATCACGACCAGCGAGCAGCGGGCCGATGGTACGTTGCTGAATCTCAGTCATTGTCTCGAAGCCCATATCCTGAATAGCCTTCATCGTCTTCTCCGAGAGATTCAATTCCGAGAACTTCTTAGGCTCCGAGTCCGTGGTAGGCAGGCGGACCGTATCGATCGAAGGAAGGTCGGCACCGTCAGTCTTCTCATCATCGGCGCTCTCTTCACCCTCGCCCTCTTCCTCTACTACCTCCTGGCGGATCTCGTCGCTGTCGTTCTCATCCTCGTCGGAGTTGTCGACTCTGCGCTTCTTGGAGGACTCCTTCTTATTCTTCTTCTTGTCGCTGTTCTTCTTGGGGGTCGTGCTGACTTCCTCCTCCACAGCATCCGCCACTTCGATCACGGCTTCATTCTGGACTGGGGAGGCTTCCTCGTTGTCGGTCGCAGGGCGGGCGCCGCCACCGTGCTTTCTCTTGCGCTTCTTGGAGAGAGACTTTGCGGAGTCCACGGGGATCGGCATTTTCGCGAGTTGTCTGGTGTCGACGAATCCCTCACGGCGAAAAATAGATTCTGGTGGTGGAAGTGCAGGGCCTGGAATCGCGAGGCCGCTTTTCTCTTTTTTTTTTCTCCGTTTCTGCCAAACTCCGCGTCACGTGCTGATAAGCCGGTGATAAAGGTGGGCCACATAATAGGATACATGCCTGAGGCATAAATAAACTATGAGCACATCCCTTCAATCTCCTGTACGTGGCATGTTGTCAATATGACCAATATAAACGGATATAAAAGCTACGAAGTGCCAGGCTACGCGCATATTGACTAAGTGTAAAGGCTTCGCCGCTTGTCAGGTTTGGCATCTTGGCATCGATCAGTCTAATAGGTGTTGTGCCTATAGGACATACTATTCCAAATCCACTAGTCGCTGAAAGCGCTTCGCTCCAGCCTTTGGGCTCATTCTACTCCGTCGGAAGAAGGCGCAAGCCCTGACATTCAAGAGACGTGTCGACGTTATCTCTGGGGAATTAGTGCAAGCAGACAGAATGCTGCTCCAAGAAATAACAATTATGCTGCCTGGCGCATACGCACTCAATCACATTACTGTCCTTGGTATCGCAATCTGCTGTGCTCTTTCGGGGTCTTAGCCCGATCAAGTCCTTGTGATTCAATCAATCCCGTTGCATAGCCACAAAATCACCTCATGGGGATCATGAAATAATACTCGAGGGACAAAAAAAGGAGCAGAGCTGTGTCGGGATCCGATCACATAGGAGTAAGTCATATCTCTAATTAAAACGTAGGGCAGTATATGAATTTGATTATAAAGAGAAGAACAGCAGCAGTCGGCGATTCCTGAGACTGCTTGGCCTCATCCTTTTTATAAATGTGATCATGAATGGTGTAAACCTCTTCTTGAGGCCGAACAAGATTCATGAACTTGATATTATAATCCGTGGAAGCCTGGCGCTTTGCGCAAACCGCCAGAATACCCCTTTTTGCTAGTTTCGTCCGTCCAATATGGCGTGAAAGGAGAAGAAGCCGCTGTGGAGCAAACTGTCAAGCTCTTCCAATGTTCGGAGAGACATGAAAACCGTGAGACAGGTCTGCTGTTGTAGCTTTTATCCTGCTAGTCCAACTGGTAAGTTTGAAGACACGCGAGCGATATTCCAATGAAACAGGCCTGTAACCCAGTGCGAGTTCCGGTATGTATATACTGTATCCTTCGCTTCATGCTCGCCTTGCAAGCTCTGTGATTCGGCAGCAAGATTCTTATTGGATGCGTGTGCTGGAACATGGATGCCATTGTTGTGCGGCCTGCTGGGGCAGCCGAGACTCGAAGCACGTAGACACGTCATTGTAATGTGGAAACCGGAGATCCGTCCACATAACACTGAATGCCATTGAGAGTTCTTGTTTGCCCATACTAAGATTGACATACTTGCATGGGTGCAGTAGGGGGGTTACTAAGGCTTCCCAGCCGTGTCTTGAGAAGGTTTATGCGTACACAAGACCCCCAGCCAAGGTGCTTGCGAATTAGGCAACCGAATGACTGAAGTTCGCTCGGAAGTTCGGATACATTTTACTGTGCTGCTGGCTGAGAGCTTG